TCACCAAAGAAACAACTAAGATCTCCAGTCATAAAAAGACGCAAGCAGCAAAGACAAGATTGATAAGCAGGAAAACATCATTTCCCTAATAGAAACCACGTTTTATCATGGTCCTCATCGCATCACACTATTGGGCTACATCCATCATCTACGTTGAGGGCGATCTAGCAATATTTTCAGGTCGGTACCTTTCGTGGATATCAGCGAATAGTAAAAGATTGAGATTACGTTGAAGGAGGTCAGAGAAATAGACCCCCTTCAACGTAATCACACTCTTGTACTAGAACAGAGCCCAAGTTTTTGATATCGGTTGTTTAAAATCTGTTTCCCTTTTGGAGCCCCGAGTAGCCTGCATAAAAAAGGGGGCACTACAATTCATTGAATCAAGAAAATGACGGAGGGACAAACTCTCAACTCCGACATGGGAATTAACCCGGAAAGTTCTGATACGAAACAAGTTTAAAATAAGCGTTAAGGAGAGAACCAGAGTGTAGAAACCATCACTGCCCATAATAGACGCTTGCAATGTATTCGTTCAATAGTACGTGGCGTCGTAGCCACTTGTATTGGCTGAAAGTTGAATATCAATATTACATGGATTAGACGTCAACGAATTCCCAAACTGATCACGTTTTGTTGAAATAGCTTATAAACGAAAAGCCACGATAACTGTAGAAGGACCAAAATGAACCATCCCACACACAGACAGCGCACTGGTAAAAGTCGGCCTTAAGCCATCTCAAACTGGGATCAGCACTGCTTCCCACCATGAATTTGGCCCAACATTTGAATATGATTAAAGAAAAAACCGCAGAGAAAACTAAGGAAAAATACCTTCACGGCAACTTCTTCTAAAGGTTAGAGTGGCGTCTTGTTCGTCTTTAATCTTGATGAGGGCATCCAAAACCATTGAACCACACTCATCCAAGTCAACATCATACTTCTGGAAAAAAAGTCAAATTGTCAGTGAGAAAGAGAATTTAAGGAACTCTTGCAACTCAAACATAGAACAACATCTTTGTTGTCTGTTATATCTCTCCGCATGAAAGTAAACGCACAGCGCAAGTCAGGACAGGGGACGAGTCAGAATTCAACAAAAAGAGATAGCGAGAATTCTACACAGGCGTTGTGTCAGTGACCACTCGTGCCTTTAGGCTAGCGTCAGAGTCGCGATCCACCGCGCGATTCGCGCGAATCGCAAAAATCGCAAGTGCCCATTTGAACATTTGAAACACTGAATATGAAACAAGTAGAATCATGAACAGTCGTCATTCAGCCATCACCATCAAGCAGAAATGGCGGCGGGATTGGAGAGCACCTCGCAGTATTGATCGGGCACTTCGATTTCAACGATTTGTCGCGCCAATCGCGCGACAGATCGTGCACTCTGACACCAGCCTTTCTCCAATGATGCTGACCCCTAATGAGCCTAAAATCGTCACTTCTGAGGAGCACAGCCAAAGTGGATCGCCAAAATTCCCAATTCAATATCGCCCCGCACGAACTTTTCTAGTTCTGGCTATTTTCCGACTGGAGTTCTTCCCTCCTTCCCAAAGATGTTACAACTATGATTCTATAAAACTCATACCTGCAAGTGGGGCTTGGTTCCAGGGGTATCAGGATTCCAGCGGTAGATCTCAAACGTCTTGACCCTTTTGCCTGTCGGCTTTGATGTTGACAATGCACGACTGGCGTACAAAATCGCATCACCGCGTCCCAACGATAGGGATCGAGCCAACATCCTGAAGAGCGAAATATCAGTTAGAATTGAAAGAATCATTAGCATAGTCCTTGCAGCTCAGTAACACTGATATATAAAAATACCAAGAAAACTGCGAAAATTCAAAAAAAAAACACTCGAAGTCTACAGTTCATCATTCACGAGTTTTTTTTTATAGGTTTTACTTTGTAATCGTGCCAGCTATATGGAACTTTTTCCTTGCGCTTGCCTTGGCAACGTAATAATGATAACAAAAGATATACGTTGAACGCTTCGACAAAAGACAGAAGCATAGGAACGAATGGCGTTTTCATGTTTTTTTATGGATTATTAGCCAGGATTAGCTCTCCAAGAGTAACGGGTCTTCGACCGAATATGTCTCTCGAAGATTCTCTTAACCTAGCGCCTTTGTACTGATTTCTTGCAATAATACGAATACGTGACGAAGACCAGATTTCAGAAAAAAAACTTCAGCCGCACACGACCAGATATAACTGTTAAACTCCATCAGTGACCAAGCCGCACCACTACTACTTCCCTGCTACAATCCCTCGCCAGCACATCACACAACATAAGAACACAGGGGAAACTGTTCATCCCACTATCAATCCCCGCCTACCCGATACTTGATCCCACAATCAAATATCAGGAATGCAAGCACATACCTGCGCCGAAATAAAACCATTGGAAAAGAGGTTTAACCAGTGCGACACGTCTTGTGATGGCGATAGTGGGGAATAGTAGGAGGGAAATTCAATATCGCAAAGTGCCATCTCGTATCGGCTGCCTAATGAGTAGTGAAAAGTGGCTGAAAAGTAACATGAAAAACAAAAGAAAGCTCTGGAGCAGTACTTGACAAGACTTCATGAGTCGTCTCTACATGACAAACTAATGCCAGACGCAAAACCATCTGCACCTAAGTTGTAGCATGTGTCAACTAATGCTCCGCGCGCGCCGTTGGAAGACCGTCGTATCCCACAGACTTGGATTTACTTCGCACAAGACGAATCTCAACAGTCTATAGAGGAAGAAAGAATCCACACACACGAGCAAAGATAAGGAAGACCGAATAACAATGATATTAAGTTAAAGTATGAATTTTAGATCTTAAAACCTCAAATGAGACTTTATAGTAAAGCTTGCGAGGGCAAGCTCCTTCGTATCCCCCGCCCACTAGAATTCCGCCCCTCCCTCACTCCTTCAGACCCGCCAAGCACGCCTCCCGTTCCCTCTACGCCCTTATACGCGACCTACGCGTTCTAGCTAGCATCCAATGTCTTTACCCCCACACATCACATGCTCGCACTACCTCAAGTCGCCCATAGGCCTCTGTTCATGAACCCCAGCATGCGCTTCCCTGCAACTGCCGGCACCCTCAATTCAGCGAATCACCGTTAACCGCGCGATCTCCCACGAGCGCAACCACATGTGAAAAAACCTCGTCGAACCTTCCTATTACTCTTTCACACGATTTCTACCTGCTTCATGTAACCTGCTCCCCACTTCATTTTAATTAAGGACTTCACAAAAAGACGAGACAACACATTGCCTATACCATAAGCTATCAACCAGAGGTTTATGCCCAATGTGTAAAATGGACAACAACCCCCCTAACATAGCTTCGCACTCCCTCCACTACTACTCTTACAAAAAACACTGGTCTAGTTTTACGAGTTATGCGAGTGTACTTACGCATGAATGGAGAAAGCGATTTATAAAAGGCAGAGCCACATGATGACTGAAGAAACACAAAGCTAACGGCATACATGACAGGGCTCCTAGAGAATGAACCAACCCTCTCTCAGGAATCGGCCTATTGCACAGGGCATGAACACGGAAAAGCCCCATCTAGATGAGCAGCTAAGTCTTGAACTAAGAATTTTATAAAGAAACCACGGATAACACCAGCAGGACAATCGCACTATTGCGAATGAGAGCCCAGCTCCTCCCAACAATCAATTGACGCAGTGAGAGTGCATACAATGTTTGTCATTGTACGACATCAGAGCATAAATTAGTCCTATATTATTACATTTCTATGAGAATCCTTCCTGGAATGAAGGCTGTTACGAGAAATATAGTTTACCCAGACGACTGGCTGCTGACTTAATTGACCAAGCTGGCGCAATTAACAACTCTTGCTCTGAAAACTCGAAAAGGTACGGTAAGAAGTTGGCAGCATTCCAGCTGCACACGTTGGCTGTCGACAAGTAGAAGCGCGAAAGAAGCACTAGCTGCGCAACACAATAGCAACTACTCTACGCTAATATTTAGTCATTTAGTGAGGTGAGTGTAAGGTACTTATTATCGTACTCAATCAATACTTTCTGGACTTAATTACCCAGATCACTATGTATAACTCGCATTGCTAAGTGAATGTATGGCCACTAATCTCCAACTGTGCTCTTTAACAAAGCTATTCCTTGGTTCCTTGTATTCGACAAATCACAATAGTAAGATCTGGGTCATTAAGTTCAGAAAGTATTGATTGGCAAAAGAGACCATGATTACCTCACTGAACTGTTTTCTGTGGAAGTCTCATTGACGCCGCGTGTGTATTGACTTCTTAGACGCGTCATAGTCGGCGACGGACAAGCGATGGAGCGATCGCGATCGCTCCATCGCTTGTCCGTCGCTTGCCAATCGCTCTTGGTCGAGCGATTGGCAAGCGATTGCGCAATCGCTTGCAAAGTGCACAAGCGACGGGCAATGGCTCTGCTCGATCGATACCGCAGCCGACTGCATTGGCTGGGGGCGGGGCCAATCGCCCGTCGCTTGTGCACATTGCACGCGATTGCGCAATCGCTTGCCAATCGCTCGATCCGAGAGCGATTGCGCTAAAGCCGTGGATCTCCGCTTCGCCGATCTATGATTCGTCGTCTTAGTGTTCCGAATATTGGCGATGAGGAATTTTTGTGGGGAACGACTAGGTCCTTAAAATACGAGAAGCCTACCCTCACCATTTGCTTTGGCGTTCAGGAACAGATGGAATTCGGTGCAATGTTCGTATGGACAAATCACATTTGGCCAAGGAATCCTTAGGCCGATGTCAGACTTTGCGAATCGCGCGATTCGCTACTAGCGATTCGCGCGTCGCTAGCGTCGCGTTGCGGTACCAGCCAATTGAGTGATTCACTGGCCGCGACGCGACCGCAGACGCTAGCGAATCGCGCGATTCGCAAAGTCTGACATCGGCCTTGAGAGTCAAGGTGCTATATGCGATTCGCTTCTACACCATTTCTTCAACTTTATTCTGTTTTACAGCTTTTAGTGCTGGATTAGGCGGAGAGAGAGAGGTGTGAATCATGACTGAGAATTTTGCCCAAGTCAAAAGGGAGTAGATGCTTCCTGTATAGTGGAAAAGTTTCCCCTGAGGACAGTGCTATCGAAGGTCGTGAGCTGTGTTTTCTTCACCAAGAAGCTCACTCATTTTTTTTCAGACTGCAAACAGAAAAAGGGTCGATCTTCATTTTCCTTTCCGCTGGGTACTTCGTATCAAAATGTCTTCCCTACTTTCATCTTGCAATAGCGTCCCTATTCGATGCGCCACTTCGGAGGAGAGCTCGACAGCTCATTGTCAGCGCGAGCCATCTTCCTTCCATCTGGGAGTCTTGAACTATTTGGAATTCTGTTGTCACTACAGAATTTCCTTAACTTTAAGGATGGCGTTCCTGAATTTGCATTAGAAGATGCAAGTTGAAGTCGACAAGTATTGAGTTTTGTGACGTCAGTTATTTCTAATTATTTGAAGGCAGGGTTGAAGTCTTTTGATCTTTAGAATTGTTGAGTTAGAATAAGGGGTATGTGCCACTGAGCTTGGTCTTTAACATAATGTTATAGTTCTCTCTGAGTTCGGATTTTCTTGTCCAGGTCAAGAAACCCTGTCTCTCACGCCCTGGGAGTGGCATATTAGGACCAGGTTTGTACAGTTCAGGCATAAAATAAGGATCTCTATATCAATGGCCCGAACACTGCAAAGCCCAAATCGCATTCAAAAAATCGCATGTCACTGCGATTCTGCAGATAAGTGAAATGTGTGCCTCATCCCAGAAAGTAATTGACATGTCGAAGGCTCTATCCTTTCAACTGCTGTTTGTATCCTCTCCGATTAGATTCAGCAAGCCGGCTAGCTGCCAGTCTGGCGTCTGGACATCGTTTGACTGCAAATAAGACGAGAATGATGGAAAGGCCAACTGCTCCGCTGGGCCCATCTTGAAGGCAGGACGACTTCCTTTCCTCTGGAAGACTTGTCTCTATACGATTCCTCTAGAAGCCTTCCTATCGTGGTTAGCAAAATGTGTTCCCTAAACTTTCCAAACTAGAATGCCAATTCCACCGACCAGAAACCTCTTTTCGAGTCAGAAATACGCCTACTATCCATCCCCCTCCTCGTTGAACTTGACCCGACGGACAGCTATCCTTGGTGGAGGGATAAGCAAGAAGCACGTGCCGTCTAAGGCCGGTGTCAGATTTCGCGAATCCAGTGATTCGCTAGTAGCTGGCCGTTAGTAGCGAATAACTGGGTTCGCAAAGGCTGACACCGGCTCATTCGGGTGATTGAAGTCACTTATTTATGTAGCTGTTAGGCAGCAGCTGCAACTTGACAGCTGGACGCTGCCATTGCTCATACCTTGTACACTGGCGAGCAGTATAGTATGTACGCGTTAAGTGACCTAGATAGACTTACCGGGAACCCTCGCAAAGACAGGGAGTTAAGGGCTACGTTGCATGATTCACAAAAAATATCCATTTGTAACTGAACAACATAAGGAAAGAACTTGTTCCAACGCAAATCATTTTTAAAAAGCATAAAATAAACTCACCTTAACCATCATGACTTCTTCGGACATCCTTCCACCTGCAGATTGGTGTTTGTCTTCTACAGCACATCAATGCCTAATCACTGCCGGAAAGCGGCTAGACGGAGTGAGCCTATCGACTAATGCTATTAACATGTCAACCGTGGGCGTAACATGTCGACGTGCTAACTGGTGCAACCTTGTCAGAACATGTTAACTGGAACCTAACTGACACAAAAGACATTTGATCAACAACCTCCTACTTAGAAAAAGCTTTATTATACTCTAATTCA